TGTGGCAAACATACACAATGAAATATTACTCAGCAATAAAAGAGAATAAAATCATGGCATTTGCAGGTAAATGGATGGAGTTGGAGAATAATGCTAAGTGAAGTTAGCCAATCCCCAAAATCCAAATGCTGAATGTTTTCTTTGATATAAGGAGGCTAATTCTTAGTGGGGTAGGGAGGGAGAGCATTGGAGGAATAGACGAACTCTAGATAGGGCAGAGGGGTGGGAGGGGAAGGGAGGGGGCATGGGTTTAGAAGTGATGATAGAATGTGATGGACACTATTATCCTAAGTACATGTATGAAGACACGAATGGTGTGAATATACTGTGTATACAACCAGAGATATGAAAAAAACGTGCTCTATATGTTATATGAATTGCAATGCATTCCGCTGTCATATATAAATAAAAAACTAATACAAAGAAAGATAATTAACCCATAATGAATGTGTTGGTCAGCTTTCTGCTATTGTGACAAGTAGCTGAGATAATGAGTTTATAAAGAGAAAAGTTTTACTCTGGCTCACAATTTTGGAGGGTCAGTCCACCATCAGCTGGCCCCCTTGCTGTTAAGCACATCATGGCTGAAGGGCATGGCAGAGCCAGCCAGCTATCTCAAGGCTGGGACAGAGAGAGCAAAGAAGAAGAGGAGACTGGATCCCTGCTACCCATTCCAAGGACACACCCTCAATGAATGACCAGAAGACATCCCATGAGGGCTCCCCTTTCACAGGTTCCACACACTCTCACCAGTTTCATGCTGGGGACCAAGACTTGAACATATGAGCCTTTGGGAGATATACAGGATCCAAACTATAGCAGTAAATCTCAGTAAGTACTAGCTGTTAATAATATCATCTTCTTCCTCACTTTTACTCAACTCTTTTTTAAGAGTCTCTCATTTTTCCCTCTTATTTAAACCATTTAATAAATATGTCTGCACAGTTCTTGTGTCCCACAAGCACTGTAAGAGGAATTTTGGAGGGAAGGAATTAAATGTGGGAAATCTGATCACAGAGGCTCACAGAATAGGCGGTGGGCAGGTTAATAAATACACTGGCACTCTACCTACTGGGAGCACATGCCACCCTTTTGCCTTTGTTTCTGTTTGTCTGCATCTGCTACAAGACTACACACCCCTGAAAGTCAAGGTCAATGTCTTAATCTTCTCTATCCCTATGGCCTCATCTGGACCATGATTCAATAAATATTTGCAGAAAAACAACAACAACAAAAAGGAAGCCTTCCTCCTCAGGCTACAGAGAAAATTGAGAGGAAGAGAGCCAGAGACAGACACTCAGCTAATGAGAGTGGAGTAGGAGAAGACTGACCTGGGGATCCAAAGAGAGGGCAGGAAGTCCAAGGAGAGCACTGGGCAGAATAAGCAGGGGATATATTTAGGATTATAAGGAGACAGGGTCCCCATGAGGTTGGACGGTGGTTATGACATAGGTGGTGAGCGTCCATAGTATAGTTCCACTCAAAACAGGTCTGATGCCTTTAGAAGGACTAGACACAGATATGTATATACACAAGCATCTAAAAATGCTTATTTAATGCAAAAGGCTAAGTGAAGTGGATTTTGGTTCAATGAATGAAAGTGGATTGAATCACTCATCAAAGGAAATTAAAGATTGTTTCCCGGAAACGAAAGTAGAGGGAATTCCAACACAAGAACGGAGAGTCCAACAAGGGAACTCCTGATCTTCTCGATCCAAGATTTTACAAGCCTACTGTCTGTTGTCCAAAAGATTTCAATATTCCATGGTGATAACATACAACTTTAAATGGCCTTCATAAACCTCTTGAGTGCAGATTTTATCACACTGCCTATTTTCAGAATGTAAAATATAGCAATGGAGAAATACAACATTAACAAACATACTAAAAGAAACAACTATGTTGTTGGGATTCTTGCTATGAGTCAATATTATAAATGTCCCTTCATTACTAAGGCTCTTAAATCCACCCAGAAATGCATTCAGAACAGACTGAAATGTAAAAATGTGTTTCTGCTGAATAAGGTGACATTTCAATGCTTCTGCATACTTAGAGACGCTCTCTTAAAAACACGGTCCAGGGCCTGGGGCTGTGGCTCATCAGTAGAGCACTCGCCTAGCATGTGCCAGGCCCTGGGTTTGATCCTCAACACTACATAAAACTAAATAAATAAAATAAAGGTATTGTGTCCAACTACAACTAAAAAAATAAACATTAAAAA